CTTGAGCCACATCCCCAGCCCCAATATTCTAACCATTTTTAAGTGACAGTTCCTTGGCATTAAGTTCTTTCAGATGTGGTGTAACCAACGTCACCATCCACGTCCAGAGCACTTCCATCTTCCCCAGTTGAAACAATGCACCCAGGAAATATTAACTTGGCTCACCCCCCCGCCCCCCGCCAGCTCCTGGCGACCTGTCCCCATCAGTTTGACAGGTACCTGGAACCGGGCCACATTGGCAGTTTTGGGTCTGGCTCATTTCACTGGGTGCTGTGTCCTCCAAGTTCCTCTGTGGTGCGTGTCTCAGGCTTTCCTTTTCTTCAAGGCTGAGTAATGTTCCCGTGTCTGGATATATATTGCTTATCAGTTCGTTCATGGATGGGCACTTGGGTTGATTCCACTTTGACTGTTGTGGGAAAATTGGCTTTGAACATGAGCGTACAATCTCTGTGTATTTCAACTGGGGAAAAGCCCTTTATGCTGTTGTGTGAGACAGACCCTGAGCCGGGTCTGTCTCCCGGGATTTGAAATTTGTGCTGAACACGGAGCCATTCCTTATGGCAGGGGTCTGTGTGCATGTGAGGACTTCTGTCACCTCTGGTGCCTGCACCACCCATCACTGTGATGGTGGAAAGCCCCCCTCCCCCAGATTTTCAAAGCTTCCACTGACAGGGCTGTGAGGAGAACCAGGGGTACACATTTGTCTAGCTCCAAACCTCAAGGCAGCAGCCGGGACAGAGCTGTCCCCTTCCTGTCTTCTGAGACTGCATGATGGCCAACTGCTGGGCCCCTACCTGGGAACTCCTGAGGCCTGGGAGGGAGCCCTGAGCTGGCCTGTGCTAGATCTGGGGATGGGCGTGCCAGGCCCCTTTGGATCAAGTGCCCTCTAGGCCACGTGGCGCAGGGAGCCTGAGCTGGCCACTGGCACTTCGTGTCCCATCTGCCCTGGTCCTGTGGGCAGACTCTCGTCCTGCCTCAGAGCTGGCTCTTGACAAATGGCAAGTTCCCACCTACTGTCTGCTTTGGGGCTCTGTTCTGGGTCTTCTCTGTCCCCCCATACCTCTTAGCTGCCCCAGGCCTTTTTCGCAGCTTCTGACCCTGCTTCAGATTGCAGGTACTCAGTGGCTATTTGGAAACTTAGTTTCTCTACAGTATCTTTTATTTGTTTATTTTACTTTTTTGCAATACTGAAGATTGAACCCAGGGGTGGTTTACCACTGAGTTACACCACAGCACCTCCCCCCCACACCTTTTTTTTCTTTTCTTTTTTTTTTAAACTGTGAGACAGGCTGTCACTAAGCTGCCCAGGTTGGCTTCGAACTCTCGGAGGCTGGCCTTGAGCTTGGCCATCCTCCTGCTCCTGCCTCTGGTGTCCCTGGGATGACAGGTGTTCGCCCCSGTATCTGGCTCCACAATGTCCTTTAGACCCCGTGGGAAATGGTAACTGCCCCAGTGGTTTTTCTGCTTCTGAGCCTGCTTTCTGAACTATCTGTGAAAGCCCTCAGTGCCCCACAGAGTAGTTACAGGAGTGGGCTTCTATTCTTTCAAGAAGTTTGAGACCTTTACTTTGGAGGAATCGTCCCAGTGCCCAACGCATGGCTAATCCATCCAAGCAGATTTCCTCACCAGTGTGACGCCTTTCCCTGGGGCACGGCTGTCCACTCTAGCCAGTCATGTTCCACTGTCAGTACTACCCTGGGAAATCCTTTGGGGAGGTGGCACGTCGGGAACATGGCATCTCACAGCCAGTCCAGCCGGCTGGTCCAGCACTTACTCAGTGGCTGCCTCYGCAGTTAACTTCCATGGGGAGCTGTGAGTGTCACCTCACTTGGCAACACCCTAGGAAAGCCAAGACTTTCCAAGAGACCAGAAACCTCAYCTGGAGGCACATGATGCTCGCTGTATCGCTCTCGGCTCTCTCGCCACACAGTCTTTGTTGGCGTGGCCTGCCTGGAAGTTCATGCCCTTGTGCTCCCTCTCTGTTGGGATTCTTAAGGATACAGAGCTGCCATCCACAACTGCATTTTCTGCTGTTCTTCAAAAGGCTGTTGTGAGGGGGAGAAGGGAGCTKTCCCTG